ATACTTAACCTTAGAATATAGATGGAATGACAGAGCTGATGAATCCGGAAACAGAATTTTCGGACACAATAATAATGAGATCAAAAGCGAGAAAATAAAATTATATTAAAATGCTGTATAGAATGTAGTGTAAGTTAGCCAGAAAATTCCTCCCCTTACAATGATAACAGAGCTCACTATTTATAGTTACGTCTAGGAAATGAGGTCCTAGGATCATGCCCTTCTTTAATGCCAGTTATGAGGGCCATTGATGAAGATGTAACGTTAGACATAAATGTCAAATTTCTTGTAACGGGCCATCATCCTTAATGCTGCAAAATATTCTCTATTAAATGTTACCAGGCGCAAAGCATGTAATACTCCTTTTATGATAGTTATTCCTTCCGGTGACAAATGGAATAGCTATGTTCGGTGGCCATCCCATCTTCCGTTCCATGTGTCCTTCCTTTAAGCGGTCATGTGTCATATCGTATTTTTTCCTATACAGATAGACCTCCTGCTTTTCGGTGACACAATCTTCAGTTACCGGAAAGTTGGTAAAAAGCACCTTTTTTGGCGGGAATTACTATAACTCCCTTTGAAATTTTCTTACAGTTGATTAGACGCACATCTCTTTGCATTTAATGCCCCAAACACGCGTCATCTCATGATTCAACACAACTTTCTACCGGTTATTGAGGTAATCATGGCCATGAATTTAGTCGCCAAAATGTTAGTACGCATTATCCTCCTCTTATGTAATTCATAATTTCTCAAACTTTTAACTTGCATCTTTATTTCCCAACTTTTCTCTGATCTTCTTCGAACCAGAAATTTTCCTTCCTTCTATTCCAATGGCTTCCTTTTCAAAACGTGCTAGTTCTTCAAAGGTCAAGAACAAAATCAAGGATTCCGTTCCTCCAACAGTGGGTTCCATCATTCCAAGAATGCTTAGTACTTCGAAAGAGTTTGAAGAGAAATTTTCTACTGCTAACCCTCATACATGGGTTGTTAGTAGATACCCTTCTTCCATTCGTCCTTCCAGTATCCCTGCTGTGAACGAGGACTGCCGCTGCCCTGAGTTAAATATTATTGCTCCTGATTTATCGGAGAGAGTGACCCATCCCAAGGAAGGTTTTACATATTTCTTCACGTATCCCTTTACTTTGGGTGCGTTTTCTTTGAGCAGAGAGCTTGATTCCATGATTGCGGAGTTTTGCCTTCGCTACCAGGTGTGCTTGGCATAGGTAAGTCCTTCAGTGTGGAGGACGATCGCCTGCCTTCGGCGTTTGTACCAAGAAACTGGAGAGGAGCTAATCCTAGCTCATATGATGAATCTTTATTCCTCCAGAATCTTCCGCGGGGGAATGATAAACCTTTGCAAGCGTGACCACCATGCTTTACTGTTTAGCATGGATGACGACAACAACCATGGGTGGATGAAATGGTTCGTTGCAGTTGCCACCAGTGACATTATTCCAACAACGGCTTCATCCTTTCCGGTCGCTTGGAACCGCTCTCGTAAGTTCTCTTTAATAAACCTTTACCTACTAAATATTCTTTCATGCTCGTATTGATTCTTCAACCTTCGTTTGTTCTCGATGGATCCCACTGGTGAAAGAAGGCTTGAACCAGTGGGTTCAAAAGATCTTGGACATCACAACGCCCGAAACTCGTTTGTAGAAAGAGCTGTCCCTTAATTATGGGTGGAAGGCCAAAAATCATGGTAACTTTGAATTACCTTGTTTACATTTTTGTATATGACGAACTTGGTTGAACCCTTCTGACTTGTTCATGAAATTAGGTCTACCTGCGGGCTCAGTTGATGTTCCCAAGGAGGATGTTTTGGCTGACCCTGCTGATGCGGTGAGGCTACTTTAGGAGATATATACTCGAATAAGAATCTCCGGGCCTGCTTCGGGCGCAAACATTTCTTCACGGAGTCCCCTGCAAGAGAACAAGCAATCAAAGAGAAGACGTTCCTCTGTGGCCGGCGAAAAGAATAAAAGGGAAAAGGTTGATGTCCCCGTGTAATCTCAGGTGGCGATGGTGATTGCTTCTCCTTCCAGGCCGGTCATAGACATTGTGATGATCAATGATGATGAAGAAGCTAGTGATAAGGGAGATTCTTTATATAAAACGATGCGATCCTCATCATCTCAACAGGATGTTCGACCTGTTGAGACAATTGCACAAACTGACAATGACGTCTCAGCACTTTGGGAGAATCTTATTTAGTTGAATATGCTCACTCTCGCTTTCGGGCCCCAATTGTTATAACTGGTACCACTGGGCTGAGTACCGGGTCTGTGCCGTCTTTGGTTGGTGAGCATCAAACAACCAATACTGCATTTGACATAGCTGCTTCTCACTGTTCAACTCCATCAGCTTCATCTCCACCTTCACCACTACCAGCAACTGCTACATCACTTCCATCGGCCGCACCTGACCATAAAGAAGGTGTCCTTCCTCCACAGTCCCCAGTTCATGGGAATTTGGGGCAAAATTATGTTGCCCCTTCTGAAGATCCATAAAGGAGGAGGAGTGTTACCCTTTTGAGGCCAGTGGAGGTTGCTAACTATCTGAAGCCTTTGGCTTCAGAAAAAGACTAGGAGAAGATTCAGACACGCTCGGGGGAGTGTTTCTTGAACAATGCTATGCATAACGCCACAACGGTACATTCCTTTCTTCTTCTATTTTTTCTTCTACTTTCAAACAAATGTACTCTAATTTTTACCTTTTCTTGTTTTGTAGGCCAACTTTCTTACTTCTGAGGGCCTTCAAAGGCTGATTCGTGAGAAGGAAGAACTTACTTCTTAACGAGATCAACTTTTGGCGGAACGGGACCAGACTATTCTCTGCCTCTCGGAACTGGAAACCAAGGCTACCGTGGTCGTTGTTTTGGAGGCTCGTTTGCAGCAAAGTGAGCAAGAAGTGGTAACCCATAGCCAAGAAATTGGGCCGCTGAGGGTTAGATTTGGGCAGAAGTCCAGAACGCCATTCTTGCTGCAATCGATCGTGAAGCTGCCTCTGCTAAAAGAGTGATTAACTTGGAGGAAGCCTTAAACTCCAAAAGTGAAGAGCTTGTTGTTGTGGTGGCGAAACATGCCCAGCTAGAAGAGAAGTACATGAAAACTATCGAGCATAATAGGCTCTTTAGTTCAACTGTCTGTGAGCTCGACGTCAGTCTCAAATCTGCTAGGTCCACCCAGGAAAACCTTTCCGCTGAAGTTACTCAACTCAAAGAAGAACTCAAGCACCGATCGGCTTCCCTCATTGTTGAAAAAACTTATTCCATGTCTAGCATGAGGAGAAAAATCCTGGAAGAGGCCAAGACTGGTATCATTGATATTGATGCCGAAATTGCTAAGGCCCGAGAGCTTGAGTTGACTGCAAAAAATGGACTCCCGACGCAGTCTGACGCTCCAGGTTCTTCTTATTCCGGTTCTGAGTTCTCAGAAACTGAAGAAGGATCGGAAGGCGATGATGCCAAAGACCAAGCTGGGGCAAATATTGATCCATCAGGGGAACCATCTACTACTCCCAGGGATGCAGATACTTCTCTTCCTCCTGATTCCGGAGACGATGCAGTTTAGCTTTTTCTTTCTTTTTCTATTTTGTAACTTTATCATTTTGATGCATCCTTGTAAATAAAAGCATATTTTTTGCTCAAGTATTGTTCGAGTCTTACTTTCGTTCGAATATTCATGCAAATCTTTAACTTTCGTACTTTCTCAAGTATTCTGCGCATGTTGTTATGTTCGCGCTTTATTATGTGTAATCTCGGATGCTTTTTCTTCGAAGCATTTTGGTTCCGAGTATTATCTCTTTTTCGTGAGGGTTTCCATGAGTATTTGCGCAAGTTTTCTTTTTGCGTCTTTTTCGTATGCGGCTTCGGGTGTATTTTTCCCCAATGGCATTCTAGGTTCCGAGCATTGATTCTTCCAGAACCAACCCTTTAACGTTAAGGTTTTTATAAGAGAGGGCCCTCTTATATTTACGGTGCTCTCAAAGAGGACGTCTCCTATTCATTACGGTACAAACATTTAAAGTACTTGTTTAACTTTCAAATGGCAAAATTAACTCATCGTTCGGACAAGAAACAAGATAAAAACAAAAGGATTTCATTTCATTTAATTCCTTTTATCTTCAAAAGTAGATAAGCATTTTGCTATGCAGAAAAGAAATTGCCATGACTTGTGGAAATCTTGTACAACTTATTTCTACGGGGCTGGCTGCGCAGCCCCCGGTCCCGATGATGTATTCTGTTCTTGGATTTTCGTTCCCTGGTTGACATGGCATTCAGTGTTGCCGTATTCTAAATAATATCATTCACCCTTAGTGTTCGAATGTGAAGAATGCGAATTGGAATACTGGAATCCTTGTATCTTTGAAGATTCCACCAATGAATTGCTAGGTAATCCTTCGCTCGGCAACATATCATGTTTCCCCTTAGGAACCCATGCTATCGAGCAAAAGAATACCTAACAGTCCTCTAGTGGTTTGTGCTCGTGAACGGACGGGTTACCTCCGTTCGGTAGCAAACTTAACTTCCCGGTGGGAATTTGCTATCGAAGCAAAGATTATCTAATCATCCTCAAGTGGAAACTTGTTCGTTTTCCTTGTTATGAAAGGTCTTATCACTGTTGTCTTTGTAGTATGCTTTCTGTCGCTTCCTCGTTAAAAACTTTGCCAAAAAAACCCAATTGGGACAAAAACTAAACGAAGGGAAAAAGAATGCGACACATACTTTCCGTTTGACTGTTATTTGTCAGCAGTAATATCTTTTGAAATTAGACACATTTCAGTTGTTGGGCAACGTGTCTCCGTTCTGGTTCTCCAACTCGTATAATCCTTTCCCAGTGATAGCTAAAACCCGGTAAGGCCCTTCCCATGTTAGGCCTAACTTGACCGCGTTGAGTTCCTAGGTGTTATGAGTTACCTTCCTCAAGATCAAGTCTCCTACTTTGAAATAACGGAGGTTGGCTCTTCGATTATAGTATCGCTCCATTCTCTGCTTTTTAGCCGCTACTCTGACATGCACCAAGTCCCTGTCTTCCTCGAGCAGCTCCAAGTTGATTAGCATTGCTTTGTTGTTCGATTCTTTGTTCACCTGGAAATACCGTATGGTTGGTTCCCATACTTCCACCAGTATCAAAGCTTTTGCGTCGTACACAAGGGGAAAAGGGGTTTCTCCCGTGCTTGACTTGGTCATTGTTCGGTAGGCCCATCGAACCCCAGGTAATTCTTCGGGCCAGTTTCCTTTTGCTGCTTCCAACCTTTTATTTAGATTTTGTATAATCACTTTATTTGTTGACTCTGCTTGACCATTTGCGCTCGGATGATAAGGTGAAGAGGTAATCCTCTTTATCTTCAAATCTTCCAGGAACTTTGAAACTTTTGCACCGATAAACTGCGGCCCATTGTCGCATGCAATCTCTTTTGGTATCCTAACCCTGCAAATTATATTCTCCTACAGGAAGTTAACCATTTTGCGTTCTCTGTTCTTCTGATAAGAACCTGCTTCCACCCACTTAGAAAAATAGTCAGTCTAAATTAAAAGAAACCTTACCTTTCCGGGAGCCGGTGGTAGTGGTCCGACGATGTCCATCCCTCATTTCATGTACGGCCACGGGGATAGAACCGAATGTAGAGGTTCTGCCGGTTGATGTACTACTAGTGCGTAGCGTTGTTACTTATCACATTTTCGTACAAAGTCTTTGGCATCTTGTTCCATACGGGGCCAGTAATATCCTTCCTGAACTAATTTCAGCACCAAAGAATCTGTACCTGAATGGTTGCCGCATATCCCTTCGTGGACTTCTATCATGACATAGTTATCTTCTGATGCTCCTAAGCACCAGGCCAACGGGCCTTGAAAGAATTTTCGGTACAATTGGCCTTTCTTGAAGCTATAAAGTGCGGTCTTGGCACGTAACGCTCTTGATGCTTTGGGGTCTTCGGGCAATTTTCCATGCTCGAGATAATCGATTATTTTGTTTCTCCAGTCCCAGGTCAAACTAGTCGAATTCACCTCATAGTAACCATTTGTGTCCAAGACTGAGTTCATCAGTTATACTACCGTTCCTGATCCCGATCCCTGGACTTCTGTCGATGAGCCCAAATTTTCCAATGCATCTGCTTCCGCGTTATCTTCCCTCAGGATATGAGTAATTGACCACTCTCGGAATCGTGCCAATAAATCCTGAACTTTTATCACATATTTTTGCATACGTTCTTCTTTGGTGTCAAAAATTATGTAGACCTGAGTCACCACCAACTGCGAATCACATTTGATTTTGATGATTTCGGAGACAAGCCCCCGGGCCAATTCGATCCCTACAATCAAAGCTTTGTACTCTGCTTCATTGTTAGTTAAAGGAATTGTTCTGATGGCTTGCCTCAAGGTTTCCCCTAAAGGCGTGATCAAGACTATTCCAAGCACGGACCCTTTTACGTTTGAAGCCCCATCCGTAAATAAGGTCCAATCTACCAATGTCGATTCTGACGCCATTATTGCCTCCTTAGTCGCTAGAGGCAATAGTCCCGGACTGAAATCGGCCATGAAGTTATCCAAGACTTGCGACTTAATTCCAGTCCTTGATTTATATTCTATATCGAACTCGCTCATTTCATGTCCCATTTGGACAATCTACCCGAGAACTCGGGTTTATGGAGGATATTCCTCAGAGGGAAAGTAGTCACCAAAGCTATCGGGTGGCATTGAAAGTAGCGTTTCAGCTTCCGAGCAGTGACGACGAGAGATAAGGACAGCTTTTCCAGATGTGGCTAGAGAGTTTCTGCTACCGTTTAAATTTTGCTAACGTAATAAATGGGAGATTGCGTACCTTCATCCTCTCAGACTAAAACTTCACTTACCGCAACTTCTGAAACCGCAAGGTAGACTAGCAACATTTTACCTTCTTTTGGTTTTGAGAGCAACGGAAGGCATGACAAATATTTTTTCAACTCCTTCAAGGCTTGCTAACACTCCGGTGTCCATTCAAAACTGTTTTTCTTTTTGAGTAGTGCGAAGAAGCGATGACATTTTTCCGATGAGTAGGAATCCTAGGAACTTACCCGAACTGACCTCGAACGCACACTTCTCGGGGTTAAGCTTCATATTATGCTCCCTCGGGATGTCAAAGGTTTCTTGCAAATGCTTCAGATGGTCACATGTATTCAAAGGCTTAACGAGCATATCGTCTATATATACGTCCATAGTCTTTCCTATTTGTTTTTCGAGCATCTTATTCACGAGCCGTTGATAAGTGGCTCCGGCATTTTTTTAACCCTAAGGGCATTACGTTGTAACAATATATACTGAAATTCATTATAAACGAAGTCTTTTCCTGGTCTTCTAGGTTCATCTTGATTTGATTGTACCCATAATAAGCATCGAGGAAAATCATTAACTCGTGCCCGGTCGTGGCATCAATCATTTGATCGATATTTTGCAATGGGAATAAGTCTTTCGGTCACGCTTTATTAAGATCCTTATAATCGACGCACATACAAAATTTATTATTTTTCTTAGAAACTACTACTACATTGGCTAACCAGTCCGGATAATTTAACTCTCGGATTGAATTAATATTAAGTAAACGGGTTACCTCTTCTTTGACAAATTTATTCCTTGCTTCAGCAATAGGGCGCTTCTTTTGCCTTACCGGAGGTATGTTGGGATCCAAGCTTAACTTGTGTATGGCTACCTCAGTCGGGATTCCTATCATATCCTCGTGCGACCATGCAAAATCAACATTAATTTTAAGGAATTCGATAAAAGCAGACCTGAGCTCCAGGTGCAATCCTGTTCCTAAGTGGAATTTCCTTTCTAGGAATTCTTCGAACAACGCAACTTGCTCCAGTTCTTCTGCCGTGGACTTTGTCGCGTCCGTCTTTTCTGGTACTTGAAAATATCTTGGTACCTGGTATTGTTCCGACTCTTCTGTCCCGGGGCTAACTTTATCTGGTTCGGGGGCAGGTTCCGATTTCGGTAATTGCTATGCCGCACGTTCCTTTCCTTTGCTACTAGAGACCGAAATTGCATTCATTTCTCTTGCCGCCGATTGATCACCCCTTATCTGTTTGATCCCCTCAGGTGTCGGAAACTTTAACAATTGGTGATATGTTGAAGGCACAACTTTCATCTCATGCAGCCATGGTCTTCCCAAGATGATGTTACGCCCCATGTCTCCATCTACCACTTCGAAGAGAGTTGTATTCATTACTCCCTCAGGGTTCGTGAGCAGCAAAATTTCTCCCCAGGTTGTCATGCTTGCGAGGTTGAATCCGACGAGGAGTTTGGTTACCGGGATAATGCTTCCGGTGGGTTTAGCTTGCTCCAATACTCTCCATTGTATGATATTAGATGAACTTCCTGGATCCACTAAAATATATTTAATTTTAAAATCTAACACATTTAAAGAAATTACCAGTGCGTCATTGTGCGGTAGTAGTAATCCGTCTGTATCTTCGTCTGTAAATGCGATATCGTCTTCCCGGAGGCTTTTACTATAAGTTATCGATACTTTTGTCTTCGTCGCTGCCAAAAAGGTGACCCCATTAATTTCCTTTCCACCGAAGATCATGTTGATCATTTTGCATGGGGGGGGTGGGTTCTCCTGCTTTCGAGGTTTCCGCGTCTCCCCTATTTCGACCATAATTGTTTTTAGCTCGGTCACTCAAGAATTCTCTGAGGTGACCATTCTTTAACAGTGTTGCCACATTTTCCAGGAGGTGTCGGCAGTCCTCAATCCGGTAGCCGTTAGTCCCATTGTCATAACCCAATTTTACCTATAGGTCGTGATGGCGCCTAACACTATAGCTAGGCAAGCCAACTAGTGATTTAAACACATATTCAACTCTTTAAAAATTAACTGAGTAATTAAACTCTTACAACTTGCAAGAATTAAGACAATATAAAAAGATCTAGTAAATTAGAAAAAAAAAAAAACAGGAACAAAATTAAATCCAAAAATTCTACTAGTGTGTGCCAAGACCTGGTGTCACAAGTGTATGAACATCTAGTAGATTACACAAAAATTCCAAATACTGTCTAAAATAAAATAGACAGAATAAAATTTCAAGAAGAGGCACTAGTTGTTGCAGAATGACTCAGAAAGGCAGCTCACCACTAAGCCTCTGGATAACGTGAATGCGTGCCGATAGGTCCAACTATATCACCTATCTCAGGTCCTGCACAAAAAGTGCAGCAAGTGTAGCATGAGTACATAAACAATGTGTACCCAGTAAGTATCAAGCCTAATCTCGAAGAGGTAGTGACGAGAGGTCGACTTTGACACTCACTAAGGGTCAAATATAACAAATAAAATAACAATAGAAATATATAAATCAATATGATTTATAGAATTTACAATATTTTTTCTTAACCAGCAGGAATAATTAAATTCCTTCAAATACGACAATTTTCCATTTATTTAACTTCACAAGCTGCAATTAAAATATCAAGGTATCGTGTAATTATTATTATTAGGTACGATTTCTTCCGAGGTCGTATAGACCGATCCAGAGTGTCGTGTACACTGCCGAGGTACATGCGGCGCTATCCATAGATGCATCTATACTGCCGAGGCATTCAGCCCGCTCCACAAGAAAGGGAGATATTTTCTTATGTACCTCCAAAATGAGGATATATACAAGAGGGTGTACAATTTCTTTTAACAATTAATTAATTTATATAAAAATTCAAGTATATGAGATTTCAATCTTTTACTATTTTCCCTAACAATTCACAGTATAGTTCAAATACTTTAATTAAATAAAGGATACTATTAACACACGTAATTCATGATTTGAGTCCTAAACTACCCGGACTTTAGCATAAATAGTAGCTACGCACGGACTCTCGCCACTTCGTGCGTACGTAGCCTCCACAATTAGCAACAATTATTAATTTAAATCGCCTATGGGGTAATTTCTCCCTTACAAGGTTAGGCAAGAGACTTACCTCGACTTGTTCTAATTTAATCTACTAGTAGGCCCTTTCCTCGATTATCCAATTTCGAATGGCTCGAATCTAGCCAAAAATAATTTGATACAGTCACCAAAATTATAGGAATCAATTATATAAGAAAATACTACATTTTTCAATAAAAAAACCGAAATTAACTCAAATATCGTCTGTGGGGCCCATGTCTCGGAATCCGGAGAAAGTTATGAAATATGAACGCCCATTCAACCACGAGTCTACCCATACCAAAATTACTAAATTCCGATAATAATTCGGCCCTCAAATCCTCAAATTTAACCAAGAGTGTTTGCAAATTTTTCCAACTTAATTCACCAATCAAATGATTAAAACAGTGATGAATTCGGGTAATTTAACCAATATTGAATTAAAAATACTTACCCCGTTGTTTTTTCTGAAGATCTCCCAAAAATCGCCTCAATCCGAGCTCCAAATCGGTAAAAATAAAAAATGGGAACTTAAACTCTCTGCCCAGTGATTTCTTCTACGCGATCGCATAGCACAAATTTTAATTGCCCAAAAATAACCCTACGCGATCGCGGAAAATCCCACACGATCGCGAAGCACTGACTCCGCAAACCTACGTGATCGCAAACCTTCTCACGCGATCGCGAAGCATTAAGCGCGTGGCCCAGCTCCTCCCTCTGTTCCTCTTCGCGAACGCGGCCTTAGCCACGCGTTCGCATAGCACAGCTCGCCCAACCTACGCGATTGCGAAAGTTCCCACGCGATCACATAGAATAAATTTCCAGCTGCCCAATTAAGCCTACACGATCGCGAACCTTCTCACGCGATAGCGTAAAAGGAAACCAGACACCAGATTTCAGCAAACTCCAAATCCAAAAATTGATCTGTTAGCCGTTCGAAATTCACCCGAGTCCCTCGGGACCTCAACCACATATCATACGAACTTAGTCTAAACCTCAAATCACATCAAACAACAATAAACCACGAATCATACTCCAATTCAAACTTAATGAAACTTAAAATTTCCAACTTCTACATTCGACGCCGAAACCTATCAAATCAAGTCCGATTGACCTCAAATTTTGCACACAAGTCATAAATGACATAACGGAGCTATGAAAATTTTTGAAACTGGGTTCCGACTCCGATATCAAAAAGTCAACTCCTCGGTCAAACTTCCAAACTTAAATTCCTATTTTAGTCATTTCAAGCCTAATTTAACTACGGACTTCCAAACAAAATTCCGAATACGCTCCTAAGTTCAAAATCATCATACAGAGCTGTTCGAATCATCAAAATTCAATTCTGGTATCATTTTCTAAAAATGTTGACCGAAGTCAAACTTAGCATTTTAAGGCCAACTTAAGGAATCAAGTGTTCCGATTTTAACCCGAACACTTTCAAATCCCGAACCAACCATCCCCGCAAGTCATAAATTAATAAAAGCACATACAAGGAGTTTTATTTAGGGGAAAGAGGTTCTAAAAGTCAAAATGACCGGTTGGGTCATTACATTCTCCACCTCTTAAACAAACGTTCATCCTCGAACGGGTTTA